GCCTTGCCTATGATAACTGCTATCCCCAGATGACTCACATACTATCTCCAGATGTCATATACCCTGCCCTATTTCTTTCCACTCTTACAATGAATACACACTGGAGGTCTTGGGTGACTTTTGTCTTTGCTGCCCAGGATCAGCTCAGACAATCCCAGATCCCTGCTTTCTGTTTAAGTCTTGTTTCTGTGTCTTTCTTTCACCTTGCATTATACTGCCTTACAGGAGATTGAGACTCTTGGCTGGGGCCTCAATACATTATCATTTTGAAAAACTTGATTTGAAGGCATGAAATAGGATTTGAAATCCAGCATTATCCCAATAATTTTTTGGCACTACATTGGGCAATGAAAAAAAGAATTGGTATTTTTTTAAACAGAATTTCAGATGTTGTCTTAATGATCTGATGTTGGTTTTAAATTTTTATTACCTACTCCTGTGATTAAATTTTTGTTACTAAGAGGAAAAATTTAAAAAATTAAAAGGTATTGTGTGTACCATAAACTATCATAAAAATGTTAACAGTGCTAAAGGAATTATCTACTTGACAACAAGATTTCATTAGTATCAGAATTAAAAACTTTCTTTACTTTAAAGACTTCACAAAGACCTGGACATGGTGGTGCACGCCTGCAATCCCAGCACTCAGGAGGCTGAGGCAGGAGGATTACCATGAGTTTGAGGCCTGCCTGGGTTACACAGTGAGTTCAAGGCCAGCTTGAACTACATAGTGAGATCCTGTCTCAAAAAACAACAAAAAACCCCCCAACTTCACAAAATGGATGATGAAAAGACAGGCCTCTTGCTGAGAATATATTTGTAACAACCACCACCACCACCACCACCACAACAAAATAAAGGACTGGTGTCCAGAACGGATAAAGAATGCCTAAAAACTGACAGGCTGGAGGTCAGATCCTCAGTTCTTGTTCATAATTGCAAATTTTGATTGACATCGCCCAATAATGCCCTCCAACCTTAGTAACTGCTTCTACTCTTATGAGTTTGACTTTTTAAGATTCTACATATACCTATCTATGTGTGGTTTATTTCACTCAGTATAATATTCTTCCAGTGCTAGGAATTCCCTTTCTCAAGTATCCTCTTTCTCTTAAAAGTTCCGTATTTACTTCTGTATCATTTCCATTCTCAAGATGGCAAACACACCATGGTAGTTTTATGCATAAAATGCCTCTTAACTCAGTAATAAAATTTATGTTGTTCTACAAATCCTGCTTCTCCTCTTATTTACCTTTTAAAGATTAAAAGACATTTTAAGTAATACATGAACACATTTTTCCTATGAAACATCCAAATATTTGTAGATGGAACTAAAAATCATCAATCTCAATCTATCTTCTTTTCTAGAGTAACCGTTGTGTCTTACTTTTCTTGTTGCTGAGACAAAATAGCCGACACCCAAAGTTAAGGGAGGAAAAGTTTATTTGGCTTACAGTTCATAGGGGTTTCATTCCATAGTTGGCTGGCTCGAAGGCAGGGTAGCACATGGCAGAGGGGCAACAGTTCATGGCAGACAGAAGGTAGCAAAGCAACAAGGGAACCTTAACAGCGTTTTCCTGTCCCTTTTATCTTATCCAGACTACTTAAGAAGGGTAGCACTCATACCCTTTTAGTGCCCTTGAGCCTAGCATTGTACCATGAATCAATTCATTACACACTTCTAGATCCAGCCACCTCTGAAAAAGCCCCATCTCATTCGCATGAGGCTTTGGGGGGACATCTAAACACAAGTCATAACAGTGTGATTAGTTGGAAATGAGTCCTTCAAGATCTTTTCCTACTAGGTTCATTTTACCTGTGCTGCTACCTAGATGCATTAGTTTCTATACAAATGGAATCACACTATTGTGTACTGTTAATGCTGTTCTGCCAGTTTTCACTCAGTGGTGACACATTTTTTTTCAGTACTAATAGCTCCTTATTCTGTATTACCTAGAAAAAATGTATCTTGTTGAATTTAACTATTTTTCTATTGATGGAGACTCAATTTTTGTTGCTCTAAACAATGATGAAATAATCATTTTTGGACGTTTCTTCACAAGCAAGGGTGATTCTCTAGGGCAGTAGTCATGGACCTATGGCATGCGCACTGCTCCAGGCTGTTTATCATTGAAAGCTCTAAAAGGTTTGCCATCACTGCTCTAGGATATGTGTGAAAACTGATTTCCATTCCCATTAGTTTGGCTAGTATCACCACCCCTCCACATGAATTTTTGTTGCAATCGTCAACCTCCATTTTGTTTTCTTGTCCTCACCTTTCCTAGCCTGTCAGCAGGATTTTGGTAACTGACACTGCTTCTTTTTTGAAACATTCTCCTCTCTGCTGCCAGTATAAAACCCTGTTCTGGTTGCCCTCCCCTTTGTCTTCCTGTAAATCTCCTTTGGTGGCTCCTACTCTACTTAATTTGTAAATATTGGGAGTTCTCCAGAGTCTGTCTTGAGCCCTCTTCAGCCCAAGTTCTCCTCCTGGATGTCCTCATATATTCCTAAGTGTCATCTGTAGGACACTGTCTCCCAAATCCCTATCCCAGTCCAGACCTATCAGTTGAGCTCTACTCTAGTACCCAGCAGCCTGCTAGCAGCATTTGAAGTACACCTTGGAAGCATCCACCTTAACGTATCTAGAGATGGACAGACTCCCAATTACCACCACCTGCTTCCTCTAGTTCTCTTTTCTCATGACATGCTACCCCAACCACTCAGGCTAAGCTAGAGGCCTGAGATTCATTCTTGTGTTTGATTCTCACAAGTCTGGATTCTTTGTTCCATCTCTACCACTTTCCCACTGCCCCTGTAATCACTGCCATCATATCTGGCCAAGGTAACTGCAAAAATCTAACCGGTTTTCCATAGCTGCCAAAGTGAGCTAATAGCAAAGCATGTACTCCCCGACTTACTCTTTTTTTTTTTTTTTAAACAGGAAATTTGAATTTATTTTAACAGACAAATGAAAACATAAAAATTGTACATACTCATACGGTGCCATGTGGTATTTCTATGTATACACTGCATAATGTTTGAATTAGGTTACATATATCTCTTTTCTCAAACATTTATTTCTTTATGGGAAAATACTGAAAATTTGAATTTTAAAAGAACAAGATAGAATGTGCTTTTTAAGAAAATGGCCAATAATCTCTGTTCTGAAATAAAAAGACAAATAGCTGTCAGGTAAGTGGCAGGATTTGAACTGACACCAAACTTTTCATGTATATGGAGAAACTGCAAAATGTTTATTCCTGTTTGAATACATATTTTTCCAGTTTTTTACAGAGAACATCTATTATGGTTTTATAATAAAAGAAATTGGGGGAGACAGTGTTTTCAGAATGCACACAAAAAACACCTAGTGACTATAAAGAACACAGACTAAAGGTACTAAAGTAAAATGACAGGGCTTGGGAGGGTTTTTTCCCATCAAAAAGGACCTCATAGATGATCTAACTATACACCTATACATGTAGGATGTAACTTAGCTCTAATTAAAAAGACCAGGAGACCAGAAATCCCAAGAATATTTCTTGGATGATAAAGATGATCCGTTTCAGAATTGCTTAGAATCTTAATATATGCCAAAAAATGAACACTTTTACTGCAAAGTTCTATCATGTACACTGTAACTTAAAAAAAGCAGTAGGAAAAAGTATGAAATGGAATTTCAAGAAACCTTGTAACTGAAGCCTAACTTCAATGTTGAATGAGGGAGCAAAGGACTTCATGAAAAGTTGGTCTGAAAAGCACAGAAGTGGCCATCAGCTCCTCTTTGCTCTCCTGATCCTGTAGTAAGCCAGTCTTGCTGTGATTTAGTCGTTTCCCCTTTAAATAATATGAGAGTTCACACACTTTACGCACAATCCACCAGTGACATTAAGATTAACTTCAGTGCCTGCTGTTTAAGCAACTTTTTGTAGGAAATTAGAATCCCAAATGCAAGGACCTGTTATTTTCCTGACTGGGAAACTGTTCCAGCTTAAAATGAAGCTCAGATTTGCTTCACTATGTGTACCTTAATATATCCAGAGGAGGAAAATTGAAAAGCAACTAAAGGACAAACTGCTATAAAACATTTCCCAGAACAATGTGTAACTTATTTAACATATTCATTTGTAACCAATCTAACTTTTCCAAATTTTCATTTGCAAAGGAAAGACTCAGTTAAAATTGAGTATAAAAACCACTGTATCAGATGGGTCAAAATTTACACTGGTCAAATGTGACTCCTTAAGATTGATTTTAACGGTTCATCAGTGTTTCCTCCTTTCCAGAAACAAATCCATCAAAAACCCATACCTCTGCCATGATTTCCAGAAGGAGAAAGCCCAACTGTGGATGGACCATCCCTGAGTTTTTCATCTAATTCTACCTTTTCAGAACAGGAAGCTGACCTTCACTGTAAGTTGTGGTATGCTGGTGCTTGTGATAGAAAGTCAGCTGAAGAGGCATTAAACAGATCAAACAAGGATGGACCATTGCTTATTCGAAAAAGCTCTGGCCATGATTCCACACAGCCATATATACACTAGTTGTATTCTTTAATAAGCAAGTATATAATATTCCTGTGAGATTTATTGAAGCAACAAAACAATATGCTTTGGGCAGAAAGAAAAGTGGTGAAGAGTATTTTGGAAGTGTTGCTGAAATCATCAGAACTCATCAGCACAGTCCTTTAGTTCTTACTGACAGTCAGAATAACACAAAAGATTCCACAAGAAATATGCAGTTAACATATCATAAAAAAAGGATATCACTATAATTGCTTCAGACATCTTCTCCAAGTCTCTTAAGAAAAGTTAACCAAACTTCTTATTTTGGATTATGAATCATCACTAATAAAATAGAAGATGGAGGCAACTATTAAGGCAGTTATCAATTCCTTTACAAATTGCCTGCGTGAACTTTTTCTGTTGCCTGACCTGATGATCTGGGGGAGTTCTTGTAATATTCTCAAAATAAATGCATTGAAAAGAAACAAAAAAAGATTGATTTTAACATGTTCTTTCAACTTTACTAAAATAAAATGTATTCATTATCAATGCCCGCAGCATTTAACGTATTTTTAAAAAATCGATTTAATGCTATCAAAAGGTGATGTCGCGTTAATCTTGTTTTCCTTCACGCCACTGTCGTGAGCCTTCATTCCAAGCCACGTACACAAAAACAGCCAGCACCACATGAACAGCAACCACTGCTACAATAGCAGCATAAAAATAGCTGTCCCTAGTGGACATCCCAAGGGCACCTACAAATATATAAGATTTGATTGTGAAATATAAGCCGATAGGCACTGTTATCATTAATGCTGTGAAGAATAGTAGTGTCTTCAGGGTCGACGCCAGTGAACTTTCATTTCTGAACTCGGGTGGCTGCAGCGCGTTCAGCGCCGCTTTACCAAGCTGCTCCATGGCGTCGCCATCGGTGTGCAGGCAGCAAGCACAGGGCGGCGCCAGGGCAGGCTCAACTCCTCCGCGGGGAACAGATTCAGGCGGGCCCTCCGGAAGCACACAGGCTCCCGCCAGCCGGCCGAACTCTTTGATGGATTCCCGTCACTTCTAGGATTAGTAAGGACTTGGAGGACTAGGCCCTGAACCCTAAAAGTTTTATTTCATGCTTCTCAGATGGTTCTATGTCTCAACCTCGCTCAGGGCCTTTGTGCCTTTTGTTTGCTCACCTTGAAAGCTTGACTCCCTGACTCTTAGCAGGCCACAGTCCGTTTTATCTATCAAATTTCAGCTCAGTCAACTCACAGAACCCTGTGACCACCCAACCCAAAGGAGGCCTCATTATTCTCAATTACTGTGCCTGGTCTTTTGGCTCTTTTTTGCCTCGTATGATCAGATACTACAGTCTATTACTCACTAATTTCCCTTTCCCTTTGGAATGTAAACTATATGAGGAAAAAGATACCTTATTCATAGCTATACCACAGTGCTTGGCACATGACAGGTATTCAATCAATAGTTTTGAGAGACTGTCTACATTTTTCACCCTAACTTTAGACAAGGAATAAGGTAAGTGCCTGTCACTCCAATCCCAGCTTCCTCATGGCTAGTTGTGATGCTGATGGAATTTCTTAACCTTTGTGTCCTCACTGGTTATCTGAGGATTACAGATAACCATTATCCTGAAGTCTGTTGCAAAGATTAAAATAGCATGATCATGCCTAGTATACAATTCCATTATGATTTTCATTATTACTTAAAAAGTTTCTTTAAGCAGTCTTTTGCTATGTTTATAACACAAGAAATAATCTTTGAATAACTAGTTATTTCCATATATTTACCATTCATGTTGGAACATCTACCTGGCTTATAAAACTAGACTTTAAGAGACAAAATCCTCACGGTAATGTATGAGGCGATTCCCTTGTGAATGGACCATGGACAACTGCTAACTGATACAAGCGGACTCTGTTACCATTAGGGAAATTAGCAGCTTGGTGTGACTTTTGGCACAGAAATCCTAAAGGAGAGATAAACAATTCCATCATGAGTAGACATCAGTGATGGTCTTGCTGATTATTCAGATAGCAGTATGGATTTCCTGCGAGGAGTATTATCTTCTTTATTCATAAAGGCAAAAAACCCCCCAAAAACCACTTCAATATACTACTCTACCTACACTACCTGTAACAAACTTTTCTACAAATAATTAAAATAGTAATAATCTTTAAAAAAATCTTGTGACAATCAATGGCAACAAGGTTACTAATGTTAAAGAATATATAAAAATAATTAGGACAATAAATGGCCTTTTCTCATTTATTTTAAAAGCTATTCAGACACCAGTTTTAAAAAGGGTAGAATTAATATTTTATTGTCATTTATAATCAGATGGCAGTTGGGTATATAGTTTCCATACTTCATATTTTTCGTAAATAAAAAAAATTAAAAGTTTTACACAGTGGATAGCTCATTATATTCTTCAGAAAACACAATTAGACTAATTCAGTAATGGTGGCTTCAAGCTTTTCCTTATTAGCGCCAGAAAACTCACCCACCTGTTAAGAGAATATTGAATTGACATTAGATATAGCATTGAACCACTTTTTTTAAACATATGATCACAGAATGGGAGGCGGAAAGAGAAAGCATAATCTTACTGAAAATAAAGTTCCCAGATTAACATGTATTAAATTAAAAAACCAAAAAATCTTCGAGAAGCCAACAGCCTCAAGTACAATTTTGAAAAACTTTTACCACAAATACTTTTTCACAATGATAAATGACCTGTCCAAGTCTAAGAATCCTACATACTTAGACATGAAGCATTAATCACAGGGAATTATTGTCTAGTTTTTTAAAAAGGTCAATTTTCTCTTTTTTTTGAGGCAGGGTCTCACTATATAGTTCAGGCTGACCTTGAACTCACTATGTAGCCCAGACTGGCCTTGAACTCCCAGTGATCCTCCTGCCTCAGCTTCCCAAGTGCTTGGATTACAGGCGTGTGCCACCATTCCCAGTTGAAAGGTCAGTTTTCCAGTAGCTATCACACTATGTGCTTAAATCAACAAAAATGACATATTTAATTTTTTATTTTTTTGCGCTTCAGGGGATTGAACCCAGGGACTTGGCACTGAGTTTTATCTCCAGTCCTTTTTATTTTTTATGATAGGGTCTCACTAAGTTGCCCAGGTTGGGCTAGAACTTGTGATTCTTCTGCTTCAGCCTCCCAGAGTACAGGGATTATAAACATGCACCACCAAACGCACTGTAAATATTCTTGAATGCAGAAAATGGCAACATGCTTAATATTGTGAAGGGGTAAGCAATTCAATTGTTTCTTCATTTACATTCACAGTGAGTTTTCCTTTTGCCCAGTTAGCTTTCTTAAAGGTCAGATGCACATACCTTTTCACCCTTTTTAAAAAACTGGAAGGTTGGCATGCATTTGACTTCACACTCTGCAGCAATGTCCTGGGGAGAAGGGTAGAGCAGGACAGTACCTGTTACATCGCCACACCTCAGCAACAGTACACATTTTAGCACATAAAAATCAATATAATGACTATAACGGCAGCACTAAAGTCAAACTGGTTGTATTCTCAATTAAAAATTCTTATTAATATCTTATCTCCTTCAAGGGGAACCAACAGGCAGAATGCTACCTGGATTAGTTACAATGCAGTGATTCACTATGTTGTTTAATTTGATTGTTGGCTGTTTTTTTTTTTTTTGAGACAGGGTCTCAGCTTAATAGTTCAGGCTGGCCTTAAACTCAATACGTTGCCCAGGATGGCCTCAACCCTCCTGCCTCAGCTACGATTATAGGTGTGCACCACCACACCTGGCTGTTATCTTAAAGAAGCAATAAATTCTGCTGTTATGTAGATTCAGGATTGTATTTTCACTCTTTCTCAAAATAGCAGTTCTTGCTCATTATTTTTCTACTTTTATGGGAGATGAATTCAGAGATGATGATAATCAAAGTGCTACTGCTAGAGTCATGGTGTCAGATTTGGTACATCTTATACCATCCAGCCAGAGATGAGTATTCTTGCAACCGTGCAACTGTTTAATTTTCAAGAAAATGCAAGTATATTATAAAAACTAGGAAAAGGATCCTCACGGAGAAGCACTGCAAATGTTTTGAGACAGGCAACACTGGATTCTACAGGATAATTTAATCCCCCAAACTGGGCTTTTAGGTTATTTCCAATATGCACATCCTTGTGAATAAATTGACATATCCCTAGGGCAAAAATTGTAAAGTAGAATTTCTGGGCTCAAGATGATTTACACCCACTTTTCTTTATGCAACTCATGTGCTATGCATTGTAACATACAGAGAGAATGTACACACTAATGGACCTTTGCCCATGAAAATATACATGTACACATTTTTACCTTCCCATAGCAGTTACTGTCATTTTACCAACTCACTGCTGAGTATGTAAATGGTTTTGATTTTTACCTACTGTAAACATTTTCAATCTTCATATGTAAATATTTCTATACACTAGCTCATCTATCCCCCATCAACCTTGAAAGTAGAACTGCTGAAAGAGTATGCTTATTTAAAAATCTCTATTAGGCAACTCCTTTCAAAGCAACTTCTATTAGTTTACCAATATTTATCATGATTCTTGCCACCTAGTTTAAGACTGTTATGTAATCAAATCCATAAGCCCTACCTCATCCCACCCACTAAAAGCACAAGCTTTATAAATTTTGCATTAGACTTCAGCTGTGACCGAACTTTCCCAGGCCATTTCCTCAATAGTCAAAGAAGAAAAAGTGTTAAGATGGTGTGTGTGTACAGTGCCTATCATTCTCATGTTTAATACATTCGAGGCTTTTTATCTTGATATATATATATATATATTTTTTTTGGTATCAGAGATCAAACTTGGGTCCTTGTGCTTTCGAGGCAGGCAGCAGAACCACTAAGCTAAATCCCCAGCCCTATCTTTATATTTTTTGAGTTATTGGGAAATAAAGAATGAGGTAGAGATGCAACATTTTAATCTTAAGTGAGTAATTGTTAATATATGGGTAAACAGACTTGCTTTTATTTTTCTGGACTTTTTTATTCTAGCAATTCACCTACTCTGGTTACAGAACCACAAAATTAATGCAGTTAATATGTAGTTTATTTTTATGAAGCTTCTGTTAACTGTTCTCCTTATTTTATTTTTTAAAAATCTAGGATTTTCCTGGCTATACTATTTCAGAATGTCATGATCAATTAAAAAGTCAGGTTGAAGTTGGGTTAACATTAGATAAATCTAGGCATACTGACACAGTATTAATGTTGAGTAAATATCCAGAAACACAGTATTCTCATCTACTAAAATATTTTATGGAGCCCCTCAGAGTTGGATAGTTTTGCCCAATCTCAGATTTTGATTAACAAATAGGACTGTGTTTACCTTATAAAATTTAATTTTATTGATTGCTAGGTTAAACCTCCATAGAGCCAAAATAACTTTAAGTATGCTTTTGGCACTTTTATTAACTCACTCCTGACTCTTCTTTTCAAAATTGAAACATACAGCATTCCCAAAGGTTGCAAAGTATTTCAGTCTAAACTACTTTGTTTTTATTTACAAAATAAGTATCATACCCTATTAGCTGCCAAAGAAATATGTTCAGTTGATCATGTTCCCAGTACTCATATTTTTGTATGAATATAAAATGACTTTTACACATGGAGGCCTTTAACTGTCCATTTGAACCTATGATACCTACAAGATAATTTCTTCCTGCTCAAGTGTTTAGGGATCTCTATGCTGCTCAATCTTGAGCATGAATTCAGCATTCAAAATGTTTCTGACTTCAGAGCACTTTAGATTTTGGATTAGGAAATCTTAACTTGTGTAATACCCTAACTTCACATAGTACTCATTACATCCCAGGCATTGTTCTAAGCACTTCTCAGTACCTCACTTAACAATGGTACTTGATGAAACTGCTGTTTTACAGAGGATACAACTAAGGCACATGAGGTAAACGACGTAACCAAGTCTCTACGGAATAAACCAAGTGGTCTGGATACAGAATCTGTCCCATTTCACTACCATAAATGCAAGAAGCAAATGGGGGGCAGCAAAGAACATCATGAGGACAAAGGAAGAAACACAAAGCTTGTCTGGGGCACAAAGGGGAGTAACTGGAGAAAGTACATGGAAGATAAGACGTGAAGATTAACTAGGAGTTAGTAAAGTAGGAGAGGAAAGGATGGACCACATAGGACAGCACAAAAGCAGGTAGGTGTCTTTCCAGGCAGGCAGAAAATGAGCTGAGAAGCAGCATCTGATGTTGGTGGGCTGTCACATGGTTAGAGAGGATGGCCGTGTACCAGTTTGAAGTGACCCTCCAGCACCTTTAGTAGCCATTCCATGTTTACTTAGTGAATGGCAGCCTTGGGAGGTTAATGGGGCAGGCAGAGAAAGAACTTAGGCTCAAGGAAGAAGGAAGACTGGCTTAAAGCAGAAGCCAGCGAGCCAGGATTGGAGTCCAGGTTCAGCACTTTTGTTGCTGTATCACACTATCCTAAGTGAAAACATTTACTCATCTGTAAAGAGGCACGAGGTGCTGCATCCTGAACAGCTCTCCCAGTTCTGCGGGCTGTGTGAGAGGCAAGCTCACAAGTAAGGACCAGATCTGCGCCTACCCCAAGACAGCATCCTCTGAAGTGCAGTAGATAAGAGTAAGCAAAGGGGAGTCAGACTACCTCGCCCTAAACACTCACTATGCCACGTACTCTATGCAACTCCAGGGACAACAATGTCTGTGTTTAAATTTTCTCATCTGAGTCAGCACTGATAACGCAAAGGACTGAATGAGTTAATACTTGTGAAGCACACAGGTATGTATTAAGCACAAAATAAGATTTTGTTAAATAAAACCAACCCTGGAATCTCCCCTCAATTATTCTTAGCTTTCTAAGGTACTTTTTGTTTAAAGCAACTGAGTTTTTCTTCCCCCTCTTCTTTTTTTTGCAGCACTGAGGATTAAACCCAGGGCCTTTGCACTTTGCTATATATCCCCAGCCTTGATTAAAAATTTTTGTTGTTGTTGTTTTTTGGTACTGGGGATTGAACTCGGGTCCTTGCGCTTGCGCAGCAGGCGGTGGAACCACTGAGCTAAATTCTCAGCCCGATTTAAAATTTTTTGAGACAGGGTCTGGCTAAATTGCCCAGGGCAGGCTCAATCTTGTAATCCCCCTGCCTCAGCTTCCTAATGTTGGGATTACAGGTGTGTGTGAGGCACCACTGACTAAAATCAACCAAGACTAGAACAGGCTTGTGAATATCCATTCCTGTGCCATGAAAAGTTCATAAACAACCTTTAAAGTGTCCTCACAATTCGGTCATACCATCTATGGATTTATTGTAGTCAAATTCAATTTTTACTTATTGAGGATTTCAGAATGGTAGACAGATGTAGGGTTTTAGATGGGTAAGGAAGTGACAAGATACCGAAGCCACTATCACCTGTACCTCATCCATTTTTATGCTTTGTTTTAGGCCGTGATAGACACAGCTTCCCATACCTGGGATTAAGCCCATAATTGGCCCAATTATCTGTTCTTCTGAAATAGAATGTTTTAGACAGGGTTACTGTCCTAGTATTATCTGATATATTTATGGGAGAAAAGCCTTGCAGAATTCAGATACAAAGTCCAATTTGAAAAGATCAGCAGTATGTTGAATTTTCAGCTTCGTACCTGACAGTCATCCACATCTACTTCAAGGAACAACACGTTGGAATATTTTTCAGACAGGGACTAGAAAATTTAAAATTGAAAATTAAAAAAGATTCAGAATTAGGCAAAGGCAATCAATACACTTAAGCTTCTTCAGTAGAAAACTAGGGGCAGATCTTAAGCATAAGGAACATATATTTTCCTCTGAATCAAATTCTTCCTAGTGCAAGATAATTTGTCACATTGACTGTGAGCACTGAATTTCCAATTGGGCGTGTTTCAACTTGAAAAAAAGTAAAGCTAGTTAAAATGAAGGAAATTAACTTCTGAAAGTTGTCTTAAATGGGCTCCATGTACTACACCGACATTATCTATTATTTTCAACCAATGATCCAAAAAATCCCCAAACTATCCTATTCTCCTAGTTTTGTGACCAGCAACCCAAAAATCACAAATCTCTTGTACGTACATGAAAGAAAGGTTTGATCATTTTGCAAGGCCCACACCATGTGGCTGAGAAATCAACTACTACAAGTTTATCTCCTGCAGCAGCCAAGGCTTGCTGAAAAGCCTCCTAAAAAGAAAAAAAGAAAATCTTATGTTAAATACAGTAGTTCATTTTCAAAAGTCTTGAGAACTCAATAAGATGATACAAAACACAAGCTAGAGATTCTGCTTTCAAAACCTACTTTTCACCAAACCCCCCCCTCACACAACGCAAATAAACTAGGTTGGAAGGAATCCTATGCACCATTGGCAGGTAACACTTGACAAGAAGAAACAAAACATATGTATAGTATACTGAGTCACGACTTCATGAATAGCTTATAAAATGTTATGAACTGGCTAAGTTATACTCAAACGAAGCAAATGAAAGAAAAATAAAAATTAATATTTATATGGAAAATTTTTCTGTATCAAATGTAGGTATACAGTAGACACTGGATTCTTATGGATTGATAGGGGTCACTGAAATTGAAAAAGTCACAGACACAGATTTAGCAAGGGAAATACATGTTATTTACCCCCTCTCCCAAAGCTAACACTTGGAATATCTGATCCAATCCAATACTCAAAAACAAAAAACAAAAACAAAAAAAACCCAAACTTCTAATACTCAGGCACTCACAGTGGTATAAGCTTATTTTCTTTCTTTTAACCCAGTGTCCAGGCTTAAGATTGTACTGCTTATTCACCTTTGACTTCTGCCCTTTGGCTCAAAACTATTCCCTCACTGTTTATGGAATGAACCACAGTGTAAGTTCTTTGGGAAGGAAATTTTCTTTTTTTTTGGTACCAGAGATTTAACTCGGGACCTTGTGCCTTCGAGGCAGGCGGTGGAACCACTGAGCTAAATCCCTGGCCCGGAAATTTTTTGTACATATTATTTTTCATATGGAACACATGTTAAATTCCCAGAAAAACTGATCAAGAAATCCCTTACCACAAACTCTCTGAATTATTTACCAATGGTCTTGATACTGTAACCCTAGAAACCTAATTGTTTAGTTACAAGGGACACATTTTTAACTACAATTAGTCATTTAGTGCTGACCAAAACCCAAACAGGAACAACAAAGATAAAAACACAAACATCTGGCCGGCCGGGTATTTAGCTCAGTGGTTTCACCGCCTGCAAGGACCCCAGTTCAATCCCCGGTACCAAACAAAAACAACAACAACAAAAAAACAACAGAAAAAACCCACAAACATCTCTGAGGTTTACACAGTTTCTTTTTTTCAGGAAAAAAATGTTGGTCAAATTGGCTTAATAAAAAAACAACACTCCTCCCTCTCCCTACCCTCCAAGTTGAGTCATATTAGATCTGGTCCAGAAAAGTAAATAAAATACTGTGAGGTTAAAATACACTCACACTAGAATCAAAAACTAATGTGGATTCTCAGGGGGTAGTTATTTTTCTAGATTTTAAATTTCTACCTCATATTTTTGGGGGATACAATTCACAAGTGGTATTCCTGAGAACACTGCAAAATGGTATGACATGACTTTTTTTTTTTTGAGACAGGGTGTTGCCATGTAGCCCTGGCTGACCCTGAACTCACAGCGAACCTTCTGCCTCAGCCTGCTGTAAATGTTGGAATTACAGGCATGTATCACCATGTCCAGCATGATGCCTTCTGTAACTTTTTCAGTTATACAAGTCCACCAACCCACCTTTGTGTGTGGAGGTAGGGGTTGAGGAGCGGGAGAGGTTGGGATCAGCAGAAAACAAATTATAAGTGTGGATATTACTATTCCAACCACTACTGATTGTTCTAGATGAATTTCATTCAAAGCTTTCAATTTTTGAAGTGTGCACTGTAAAATTCAGGTAAGACAGTAGAAAAAGGTCAGGGAATAACAATGTCTGGTCTGTCTGGTAGAGATGTTCTTTCTATGATCATGGTTGACCTTCGGTAAAAACTTGAGATTAACTTTCAAGACAGAAAGAACAGTATTTCAAATATCCTCAAAGTTTCCTGAAAACACATCTGAATCAAATTCAATCAAAACTACCTGAAATTCAGAGAACAACAGAAACTTTTCGCTCAATATGAGTAAAAGCCAGGTGTAAGCAGACTTCACACACAAATTCTCCTCCAATCCTCAGGTTCCCCTAAAGTATTTGTAAATACTGGCTTGAAAATAATTCAAAGTTACCTTACTAAGAGGCCAGTTACACCTCAGTGTGGCTGCACATGCCTGAGGCAGGTGGATTACAAATCCAAGCCCAGTCTGAAAAACTTAGCAAGATCCTGCCTCAAATTAAGGGGGTGGGGGGGGGGGGGGGGTAGGTAAAGTGTGCAAAGGCCCTCCCTGGGTTCAATCTCCAGTACTAGGAGAAAAAATTTTAAAAAAGAAGCTAATAGCTCCCAGAAACTGACAATTGGGATTGATAAAACATCCCTATTACTTCCTAACACAAACAATATGGAAACAAAACATAGCTGGGGTGGATTAAAAAGAACAGTCTAACAACTCTTAAAACATATTCAACTCAAGGGTAATAACCATGAGTTATTACTTAGCCAAGTCCTTGTGTGTAGCAGTTCAGTAAGTGGTAGCTGTAGCTGTCAAAGTCTTTTTTTTTTTTTTTTTTTAAAAAAGCAACCCAACTCTTTATTTCTTCTTTCCCACCACATTTACAGCCCATTATGCCACTCGTGTCTGGGACAGATCCTAGCGAACCCAAACTACCCATGCAGTGCTTCAGAAGCAGGTGTTCTAGGTGGCCAATGGCACCAACTTTAGCTCATCAGGATGAACATTTAATATATATCTAATATTTACAAATAACCAGATTAGTTAACTTTTGATGGATGACTCTAGATCACAAGATCAACTGAACACCACCCGGGCCCCTGGGGCCCAAGGTGTGGTTCTGTTTTAAGTAATGAATTTTCCATCCCCCTTGCTGGAGAAAGGAGGAAGGTGACATAACTATAACCCAAACAGGGAGGGCCCAACGAGTGTGGTCGAGGAACCAGACCAACTTCCTGTCTGCAGTGGATGCATTCTGAGCAAATATAGGCCATTCAGAGGCCTTCTGGCTCCTTTATTGGGCTCTCACCTGCTGATTTAGTCTGAAGAGGCTGCCTGACACTGCAGAACAGAGTACCTTTTTCCCAGGCACAAACTACTGTAATGTCTGACACAAAGTAGGTGTTAAAGAAACAGACATGGAAAAAGACACTATTAAGGATCTCTTTGCAACAAATGAGAAGGCTGCTATTTTTAATGTAAAAGCTCACAGCTCACACAATTAAATGAGGATTCCAATAAGAAAAACTGATTAAGGACAAGATAACAAATAATGGCGGCATATGAGAAAAAAAGTGAGTTACTAATAAAGTAACAACAGGATCTGGGACCATAACAGGCACTGTAACATTATTTCTGTTTCTTAAGCCAATTCAGCACCTAACAGGTGCTCAAATCCTCAGGATGGGGTGGAGGGTTTTGCAGGGTACACACTGGCGGGGGGGGGGGGTCTTTCATCCATCAATTTCCCAACTCACTTTCTGACTCTCCTTTGGACAAACATTTGTTAAGTGGCCGCATACAGTACAAGCACTGTTTTCCAATCTGGAGGGTATCAGGCTCACATAAGTTTCGAAAACGGAGAAGTTTTTCCCTTGGGAATTTTTAAAAGGACAGAACCTCAGGCTGAGTACTCGAAGGCCCGACGAGCACCCAGCCCCACGCGGCTACACCCAGTGGGAACCCTGGTTTCAGTAAAACCTACTGAAGTGATGAATCACGAATGGGCAGGGCTACAGAGGGCCCCGGGCTCAGCCTTGGGGACTGAGTCATGCCAAACCCAGCGCCGCCGGAAACACGCTGTGCGCCGCAGGAGTCCCGCGGGCGCGGCCTGGCTCCCTTCCCTGTCTCGCAGTCACCTGGGGCACGCGCCAGAGGGTCTTCGCCGGGACCCGCCCCCTGAGCGGACACTGCTAGCGCCGTCTCAGGGCCCGCAGGGACTGGGGCAGCTGGGGCTCTAGGGCCTAGACCTGCTCCAAGGCGCTCACCCCACCCCTCGCGGGGGTCCTCACAACATCTGCCAGGGAGTGGCTGCCAGCAACCCCGCGCCCTCGAGGGTGCTCTAGCTTTCAGTCCGGGTCCGAAACCAGACACGGATGGGGGTATGGGCGGCCCCTCTCCATCCCCTCACCTTTCCCCGGGCGGGGTAGGGGTGCACGAGTGAGGTGTGGAGACTCCGCGTTCCCCGCACGCGTGCATCCGCCAGAGGTCCTGGGCACCACGACCCCGCCCTCCATGGAGCCTCCCCAGGCCAAGCTCCAGAGCCTCGGGCGCGCCCAGGCCCGGGCTTCTCTCAGTCCCAGGCCGAGCCCCGGCGTTCCCGGCACCGCAGGGTGCGCGTGTCGTCCTGGCCTTCCCAGGGAACACTTACTTTGCTATCGATCTGCTGCACCATTTTGGCTACTGGAGGTCTGACGAGCTACGGAAGCAAGAAATGGAAGCGGATTGAAGGCGCGAGACCTAGCTCGGAGCGAGCTCGCAGCCCACCTTCCCTTTATAGCGAAAGAGCGGGGCGGGGCGGGGCGGCGGGGGCGCGCGCGTTTATGTGGCGGGAGCGCGTCCGCTTTGGCCTCCCGCGCTCGCCAGGGCGCTGCGGGCAGGCCCCGCCTCCGCAGCCCGGTCCAGGGGCGGGGCTTCACGTGGGGAGGGGCTGGCGCAGGCGCCGGGCGGAGCTCCGGGGACCGCCCCCTCGCCCCCGCTAGGCCCCGAAAGCCTGGGCACCGCCCTGCCGGTACCCCCTGGGGAGCATCTGTGGGGGCGGTGGGGGTCCCTTAAGGGCAGTAGTACTACGCACCGTGGTGGGAGGCGGACGGCCACCCACAGCCACAGGGCCACTCCTGGGTTACTTGGGAATGAGACAGCCACACCTTAGTCGGAAACGCCCAGGCTGGAGATGAAGACAGTCCTGAGACCGCCCAGGACAGGCCGCGTTTCTCGGAAAGGCCGGCCTAGCCCCGTCTCCGCACACCAGGCTCTGAGCACCTTGCAAAGTGCTGAGTAACGGTGACTAGGAAGTAACTCTGCACGCCCTCACCTTCTTTCCGGATTTTACCTACGGCTCTCTTCTGTCTTCCCTCCTATTCTTTAACTTTCGCGCTGAGCTTGCTGCTCCAGTGACACAGCAGTTTAATGCAATGCGGTCGAGACGGCTGGGCGACTGACTGGGCTGTAGACCCAGACAGCTGCTTGTGAGATGTAAGTGCGGCCAGAGAGAGCTCTGCAACGGAGTCACACAGTTGGGCAGGTCCTGCCCTCCCGGGGTCTCACTTTTCCCTTTCGTAAACTGGAGATCACGGCGGTCTTCGTCTGTTGGTGGCGGTGTTTAGGTTCGTGCTTGGCACATAGTAACCACTCAATAAATTGTTGAAATTGTAATTATAGCTGTTGGTGGGTACTGATTAGGCTTGCTTGGTGCCGTGAGGGGCTTGGCTTAGCTTGGCTGCCTTGTATTTTTGATGGCAGCAGCAAATACATTTGCGAGAGTTTTTTGTATCCCGGGAGTGCAGGTTGGGGCTGGATGGCTGGGGCTTGTGGAAGGCTTTATGTAGCTGGGAGGGCTTGTCAGTAGCTGGAACTGGAGATGAGAGGAATGAGACCCAGAAGCCCTAGACTAGATGGAAGGTCCTGGGTCTGCATTTTCAGAACTGAAAAGCTCTGGTTGAAGCTGCATCTAGGTGTCCTTGGCTGGATTAGCAAACAGCTTCTGGCTGCCCCTGGAAGAGTGGATGTTACAAGTACAGAGAATAAGGAACTGAGAGGCCAGAGTACTTATGTTCACAGCCAGGACTCTGCAATTAGACTCCATCATCCTCATTCACACTTAGTTGGGTAACTCTAGGCCAGCCTAAATAGCCTTTCTGAGCTTCAGTTTCCTTATCTGTAAATGGAGATAATAACTGAGTGAGCTCGAATACTCACTTCTTGAACTGTTCCTAGTAGGTAGTGAGTACCTCATGAACTATGACTACTACAGACCTGAAAAAGGAAGGTGAAGTCTGCTTGGATGATGGCAGAGCTAGGGTGCAAGGGGAGACTGTACAACAGGTGTGAGTGTTAAATACATTAAATAATCAGGGTGTGTGTAATGAACAGTGAGCTCTGGAACACGAGTCTCAACGAAAAAGGGTAGAGAGGTGGGCTGGACGTTGTCCTTAGAAGCAAGGTCCCCTGCCTACAGGGCAGACCCTCTTTAGGATTTCGGTTGTAGGAAGGAGGTGACATTCCATGAGGAAAGTGAAGTGCAGGGTAGTTGTTTGCAACAGTCCAGAGTGGGAAGATCTGTTTGTGAGCAAAGTGTAGAGGCAAAAGGAGGAGAGAGGAGAAACTAAAGGCCTTCATTTGGAGGACTGACTGCATGTTTTAAGTAGAACTCTCAGTTGCAAGGAGTTATATATAGCATTAACTCAAGAGAGAATTGGGAATTCATATTCCCAGGAGCTCTAGGAACCTGGAGCTATCACACAGCACCATCTGGACTGTTTCATTTTTGGGCAGCCTGTTTACCTTCCCCAAGAGTGGCCCACCAATCTGCAGGTTTAGGTTCTTGTGGTTGGACATCTCTGCAGGAAGAGTGACCATCTCTCTTCTTCTTACAAGTGTCTCAGAGGCTGATGTTCATTGACAGTCTGGGGGTAGCCTTGGTTGAACCATTGGATTAGGAGTAGGGTAAATCCAGGGAGCTACAGAAAAAGGGGGAGATGGATGCTGGAGAGCAAAAAGATACTTTCACGTCAAGAAGAGCAGAAAAAAATAGCAGAGGTGATGAACTTGCTTTAGGTTTCTGGGTCGGCTCAGTCTGAGGCTCCATGTGGGACTGGAGAACTAGATCAGCTGTCTTTGGGTTTCACCCCCAATTTGAAGAACATACAGCCTCAGTGCATTTGAAGCAAGTTTTTCTCAGCTTCCAGATTTCTTTGACCACTTAATTCATCCTAGCTGTGGGTGTGGAATGATTCTGCCAAGTCCTGGACCACATCCAGACAGGCATGGGGAAATCAGTCTTCTGAGGTAGTCTTGGAGCCTGCATTTCAAAAACATCCCAGGCAATCAGGTACACTTAAGATTTGATAAACCTTGACCTGGGATCTTCAAAGGGAGGCCAGCATGGTTAAGCTTAAAGACTATCTACCAAGAGAGTTGAGATGAGGACACAAAAGAGAACTTTTGACATCAAGTTCATAGCACTGTGATAAGGAAAGTGATAGAAGGAAAAGGAACAAATAAACACGTGAACTGTCAGTAATGCCAGGCGCAGAGCTGGGCGTGACTCATTCCTCTCAACCTCCCTTAGGAGATAGATAATGCTCTTCTCATTTTACAGACAAGGAAATTGGTCAGAGAGGTCATCTAGTTAAACTAGAAGCTCACTTATTCTTTACACCCCTACAAATCATGAATACTCTTCCTTTACTAATGAAAAATATCTAACATGCCCTATGTAATTTATGCATTCTAGAGATTACATTATTTTTAAACACCATTTGGATTTTTAAAACTAATTTACTTATATGTCTCACATTTAATGCTAACCATTTTAATGTGTTTCAGATTATATAATAATCTCTGCAAATAACCTGTCTTCCACACCACTGCTTGTTATCTTCCCAAATCTGGCCCAAGGATCCCCCTTTCTACCCCTAAAACACTTTCACTGTGCCCCCTCAGAACCATCTAGCTTCAGTAACCACCACTATATTTTTCTCAGATATTTCTTCTTTTTTCTGAGACAAGGTCTCACTATGTAGTTCAGGCTGGCCTTGAATTCAACTGTGTAGCCCAGGGTGGCCTCGTACTCATAGCCATTCTCCTGCCTCAGCCTCCTGAATGCTGGGATTACAGGTGTGAGCTACCATGCCTGGCCTCTTCTCAGATATTTCTTTTGCCTTACAGTTTTGCTCTTCTCGGTGTATATCATTGTATGACATATGATGCTCCATGTATGCCAGGGCCGGGAGGTCAGGCAAGTACTTTCCTTTGCTACTTCTAGACTCTATCCTTCAAAAATCTCATGGACTTTGAGGTGAAAAAAATCTTTTTTGGGGAGAGGGAGGTGAAGTAAAACTTGACTCTTTTCTCACACTGTGCAGTAAAATTACTCAATATTTGTTGGACAACTCCTTGAAGACATTGGAGATGATCTTTGCAACTTTGGAACAGGGGCATATATATATATTTAGGGAGGACACAGAAATCACAAACTATAAAGGAAAAAATCAGTTTGATTTTATCTTACCTCAAAAAATGATAAGTATTTGAGGTGATGCATATGTTAATTTGATTTTGCCATTCCACAATGTGTGTATGTACATACATACGTATGTGTGAATATATATAATACATATCAAAACATCATGTTGCAGCTGGGATTACACCTGTAATCCCAGCTACTTGGGAGGCTGATGCAGGAGGAGTTCAAGGCCAGCCTGGGCAACCTAGCAAGAGTCTATCTCAAAATTAAAATAAAAAAGACTAGGGATGTGGCTCAGTGCTTCCCTGGTTCAATCCTCAATATTGGAGAACAAAAAATATCATGTTGTACACTGTAAATATGTATTTAAAAAAATAGCAGCAGCAACAACAACAGCAACAACACCAAAACCCAAACAAGAGACAGTCTTGGAGAGCTATAAAAGGACATATGTATGTTCTGGTGAGATGCTGTCATCTAAAGAAAATAAAACTAAGTAAAATAAGTTACTAGTACAAAAAAATCCCTGGAAGTCACATATGGAAGAAAATTTGCTTCATACATATATCTAACAAAGAACATTAACCCAGAATGCATAGAGAATTCCTACAACTCAGTAATAAGGCAACCAACCAGTAAAAACATGGCAATAGATTTGAACACGTTTTTTAAGAGAAGATATATAAATGACCAGTAAGCACATGAGCAGATAGATGCCCAACATCATTAGTCATAAGGGAAAGTAAAACCACTTTGAGATACCATTATGCACCCCATTAGAATTACGAATTAAAAACAAAAAATGAAAACCACCAAATGTTGGCTATTGTAGATTACCTGGAAATACATCACACATTACTGGAAATTGTATAACCACTTTTAGAAACAATTTGGTAAGATTTTTTTAAAATGAAGTTAAACATGCATTTATTATATGATCTAATAATTCCACTTCCAGGTAGTTACCCAAAAGAAAGGTGTACATATTCACACAAAGAATTGCACATTAATATTCATAGCAGCTTTACTCATAATAAAAGCCAAACTAATAACTAAATATCATCAACAAGTGAAATAATAGCAAGTGTAGTATTTCTATACAATAGACTATTCAGAATATTTAACAATACCATGGATGTATATAATAAATACATGCTGAATGGAAGAAGCCAGATGTTAAAGATTGTAAGAATCCAGGTATATGGAGCTCTAGAATAGGCAAGTCTATAGCAACAGAAGGGAAATTCCTGGTGCTAGGATTGGAGGACTACAGAGAGGAATAGGGAAATGTTTCAGTGTTTATACAAGTCTGTGCATTTTCCCCAACTCAAGGAAAAATGTTCTAAAATTGTTATTTTTTATTTATTCTGGATACAAACTATGCCCAATAAAGCTGGTTTAAAAAGTAAAAACATGTAGTCTCTGAATTATCATTTTTAGGCATAAAAGCCATCCTTAAAGACATCAAGTACATTTATAAGGTTACAAAGGAGATAAATTGAAACAGTTGGGTAATGCTGTAATTTAGCTTCCACAAGTTATAAGGATGGCTAACTGAAAGAGTACATTTAACATTTGTTTGTTCGCTTCATAACACTGGGGATTGAACCCAGGGATTTTGCACTGAGTTACATCCCCAGCCTCTTTTATTTTTTATTTTGAGATAGAGTTGCTAAGTTGCCTAGGATGGTCTTGAACTTGGCAATCCTCTTGCATCAGCTTCCCAAGTAGGTGGGATTATAGGCATGCACCACCATCCAAATATATGCACACATTGTGAGGTGGCTAAATCAAGCAAATTAGCCTATGTATCACCACACATGCTATTTTTTGAGGTGAGATAAAATCAGATTCATTTTTTCTTTTGTACTTAGTGATTTCTGTGTCCTACTTAAAACCCTTGTAGCTATTGAAGCTTTCAAACAGGATATAGATGTTAAACACAATCTAATTGGGTACCCTATCAAAGTTACGCTAACTTCAGAAATAGGGAGAACCACTGAGGGAAACACACTCATGAACAGCACCTGACAGACTCTTTACAAAGAAGCGCTAGAGAGATCCTGAGCCTTCTATAACAGTGCTTCATGAATTGCATATACCTAAGAAAGGTAGAATAAGAATACTCATATCCTATGAGCAGATAAAATATTTGGATATCTACTCTTACCATGTCTAGTCAGTGTTGTACTGCAGGACCTAACAAGAGCAATTAAAAAAAAAAAGAAATATAGATTTGAAAAGAGGAAGTAAAACTATCTATTTGCAGGTGAAGTGCTCTTGTATATAGAAAATCTTAAGGGAAAAAAAAAATCTAAAACGAGTAAGTGTAGCAAGGGTACAAGATATAATCTCAGTATGCAACATTCATAAAGAATGAATTACTTGGGTATAAATTCAATGAAAAAGTGCATATTCATGTAGTAAAGCTATAAAATCTTGTTGGAAGAAATTAAAAGTGAAATGTAAAGACATCTTATGTTCATGGATTAGAAAATAATATTACATTGACCTATATAGATCCAATATAATCCTTATTGAAATCCCAAGTGCTTTTTCATTGCGGAAATTTACAAGCCAATTCTGAAATTTATATTGAAAATTAAGGCACACAGAAGAACCAACACAATCTTGAAAAAGAAGAGTAAAGTTGAAGATCTATATTTCCTGATTTCAAAACTCATACAAAGGTACAGTAATCAAAATATTATGGTATGGGCGTGATGATAGATACATAGATCAATGGAATAGAATTGAGAGACCAAAAAATAAACTCATATCTATGGTTAAAACCATACAATGGGGGGAAAGAATAGTCTCCTTAATAAAGAGGGCCGGGACAACTGTACACAGGCAAAGGATAAAGTTAGGGCCTACCTCACATCACTTACAAAAGATTAACTCAAAATGTTTCAAAGACCTAAAATTATAAAACTTGTAGAAAGGAAACATAGGTTTACATTTTTGTGATCTTGGATTAGGCAGTGATTTCTTAGAAATGACACCTGGAGATAAAGCAAACAGGAATTGTCTTCAAAATTAAAACAGTTTGAGCTTCAAAAGATACCATCAGGAAAGTGAAGAGCTAGCTCTTGGGAGGCTGAGCCAAGAGAACGACAAGTTCAAGACCGACCTGGACTACATAGTAAGACACTGCCTGAAAAAAGAAAAGATAACCCCTGCCTGTCTCGCAAGTGCAAGGACCTGGGTTCAATCCCCGGTACCACCAAAAAAAAAAAAAAAAAGAAAAAAGACAACCCTAGAAGGAGAAAATAGTATTTGCAAACCATATATCTGATAAGTGATTTGCATCTAGAATACATAATGAAATCTCACAATTTAACAATAAAAAGACAAGCCATTTAAAAAATAGGCAAAGGATTTCAATAGACATTTTTCCAGAGAAGATGTATAGGTGGTAAATAAGCATATGAAAATATGACTGACATCATTAACCACTAGGAAAATGCAAAGCAAAACTACAATAAGGTAATATTTTATTCCTACCAAAATGGCTATAATAAGAGGCAGAAAATAATGAGTGTGAGGATATGGACACATTTGAATTCTCACACATGGCTTGTGGGAATGAAAAATGGTGCAGCAGCTGTGGAAAGCAGTTTGACAGCTCCTCAGTAAGTTAAACAAACTTAGAATATGATCTAGCAATTCTATTCCAATGCATACAACCAACAACGTTCAACGCATATGCACACAAAAGCTTGTATAGGAATGTTCTTGATAGCCGAAATATAGAAGCAGCCCAAGGTTTATTCACTGATAGACAAAGGGTGGTACGTCTATATGATGGAATATTATTTGGCCATAAAATGGAATATATTTCTGATACATGCCACAATGTGGATAAACCTTGAAAACATACCAAGTGAAAGGACCCAACCAAAAAGGCCGCATAGTATATTATTCCTTTATACTAAATGTCCAGACAGGCACACTATAGTATGTAAGTACCTCAGTGATTTTCAGGGGCTGGTAGAGGAATTGAGAATGGGTAATGACCATTGATAAGTCCAATAGGAGTTTTTTTGTTTTTTGTTTTTGAAGATATTCTGGAATGAGTGGTGAGGATTGTATAACTTTTGGAATACACTAAAAACAACTGTAAAAAGAAAAAGTGTGTAGGGATAAAGATATCTATCCTGGCTTCACCAATGCAAGTAGACATTCTTTGCAAAGTATTAAAAAAGAAAAAGAAAGAATTCTTTCCCCTAGAAGTGAATTCAGTTTCTAAAATCGTTCTTTGAAAACCTTATCTGCATTTAAATTCATGAGTGAATATGGGAAGAACATCTTTGCCCATTACCATTAACAACAAGTCTAAAGCCCAGAGAAAGTTCTGCTCACACCATGAGGAGACAACTTGCTTATCTATATTCACTATCCAGTAAGTGTGCATTTTTGATGATCTTCCCTTTAACTATAAGGGTGTTAATGAGCCACATCATTCAGTAGCACCCAATTAACAATTAAACTATGCACAATTATGACTAGGTGAGTTTTAAGAAGAAATTAACCTCATAAGTTTCACATGATTGGATCTTTTAGACATAAAAGAAGTAAAAAGTTCAATTGGAATACATGGTTGTCCAGGATGTCTGGTTTCTGAAATTACTTAGAAATCACTTGACTGCAAAGAAATAATGAAGCACTCTAACAAGTAGATTCAAAATTTTTCCTGCTGGAGTTAAGTTGGCACAAACTAAGGTGTAATTTGTCATAGGATTTGCCTTTAGCTTCTGTTTGTCATTGTAAGTTGGCACATGTTTGTGGAGCACAGATTTTTTTTTTTAATCCCAACTCTCTTCCTAAGGGAACACAGTCACTCCTTGAATAAGAATCTTTATCAGCAAAGTGGAACTGAAGAAAGAACACAATTTCAAAATGAACAAAACACTTCAAAAAAAATGAATCATAAGTAACTTGCATCAGATATGAGGTCATTGTTATTTTGTTGATAAAGGATATCTTTACTCCAGTAAAACAGAGAGGCTGATTCATGTAGTTACAAGCTTATTGACTTAATAAAAGTGTTCCTGAGAATTCATGAATGATGGCTTGGAAAGGCAATTTCCAGACAGGAATCAATGGAAAAAATGCTGAATCGAAAATGTAAAACTTGAGCTGAGGATGTAGTTTAGTGGCGGAGTGCTTGCCCGGCATGTGTGAGGTTCTGAGTTTGAGCCCTAGCTCTCAAAACAGACAAACAAACACCAAACAAATAGAAAACTTTTAAGGTGCAGAAAGGAAGAACTTTTGGTTGAATGAAAGTATTCTGGATAGCTGGAGTGGTGGTGCACACCTGTAATCCCAGCACTCTGAGAGGCTGAGGCAGGAGGATCCCAAGTTCAAACTCAGCCTGGCAATTTAGTGACTCAGCAACATCCTGTCTCAAAATTAAGGAATTAAAAAAATCAAGAAAGGGTAGGGATGTAGCTTATTGTGAAGACCCTGAGTTTAACTTCGGTGCATCCCTCAGTGTATTCTGGCAAAGCGACTGTATGAAATCTAGAACTACTTACATTAATTGTACTACATCAACAATTTTGTTTTCCATCATAAATTTAATTCTATACTGATCAAGATTGAGAACAGTCAAATATAGACAAGAAGCATAAATGCTGTAAAGGTAATGTATTTAAGTAAGGAACAAAGACCAAAAAAAATCACTTTGGAAATTTTTCATGTTGATTTAGCCCTCATTTGTTTTATTCTTTGATTTAAAAAAATGTTTAACCTCAAATAACAGCTTTTATTCACTTTAAAATGTTCAAATGTGTAAGAGAATTAGAGGCGGGGATGGGGGAAAGGAAGGGAGGAAAAGGAAAAAAATGAGAAAAGAAGGAAAAAAATGAAACAAAGCCTTTGTCAGTAAGGAGGGGAAGAGGAGTTGAAGGGAGGGGAGGGGAATGGGAAGAAAGTAGAATCAAGATACATCATGTACAGGTACAAATTCCCTATGATGAATGTGATCATTATGTATATCTAAAATGTACTAATAAGCTTAATTAATTGAAAACAATAAATTTCCAAGCCTGATAACAACTTTTAAATAAACTAGTTACATTTGAAAGAATCTAATTTTGTGTTTAGTGTGACTCATGCAGGCTGTTGGCTGGAGCACTTGGGTCTCCTCGTCGCGGCTTTTCATCCTCTCATAGTTGGACTGGGCTTCTGGCATGCTGTTCTCACAGCAGTGTTGGACGTGGGTGAGGGCAGAAGCTAACAGGCCATTGGAGGTCAAGGTTTGTAAGTCTCACAGTGTCATTTCTGCTGTATCAGCTGGCCAAAGCAGGCTTTGAGGCTGTCTAGTTTCAAGAGATGGGGAAAAACATTGCACCTCTTGATCCAAAAGCATGTACTTATAGGGATTGAACAGATCACTGAGACCATA